AAAAAAAAAAAAAAGAAAGAATATTACATCTTCCCAAGTGTTGTTATGTTTGTTTCTTACATTTGAGTAGATAATAACTCTTATTTTTCAAATGCTACTAAATATGGGAGGATTTATATTAGATTTATTATTTGATCCTTGAAAGACATTTTTCTTTTACATCTTTTAAAAAAGAGGGTTAAAAAGTAATGTTGAATAATTCTGCATTAGTTTTAGCCAAATACTGACTGAAAGACTATTTATTCAACTTTTTAAAATTAAATTGGTTTTCTAGTTGAATTTCCATTAATAGAATTTGGATTGTTTTGTATATTCTTTCATAACTTGCTGCAGTATCAAGAGACTATGTAGCTAGGTAAATTAAAGCTAATATTTTTCTTGTTTTTTTAGCATGATAGTTTTTCAGATTTCACTTCATTTCTCTTTTACTTTAAGTCTAAAACTTCATTTGATCAGTTAGTAAATAGCGTGATATGCTTTTATTTAAGTAGAATATATGTTGTCTCAGTTAATGAAAAGTTAAACATCACAGATGGTTTAGTATAGAAAGTAGAGAGAAGCCCTGTAAGTGTGTGGATTTGACATTTGAGATGAAAGCACTGATAATGTAGAGAAAGGACAATTCTTTATGTTGATTGAGTTACCAAGTGTCCTATTCTCAAGGTCTTGTCTTAGTGTGACCTCAAATTTATGGCAAGTAGCAAAATTTGTACCTTGATTTSAGTATTTCTTTATTTATAAGTATTTCCCTCCCTAAGTTTAACACATTCATATGTCAATGAATGTTCTCTTTTCCCAAGTTCTCACTATTAATAGAAAAATGTTTCTTTTCAAAACAACAAAAAAGGTGTAGTATTATAGTGCTCTGAAAATTGCCACTGCTTTTTTCTCTTACTATATTGTGGAATCTATGTTTATGCATACAGAGCCATCTCATTGTTTTTTTTTTTTTTTTTGATAGTTGTGTATTCTCCATTGCAAGTATTCTTTCATTTCTAAGTGATAGAAACTCAACTCAGACAGGCTTATGTGGCTCTCTGGAATTAGAAATTCTAGAATAAGAGCAAATTTTATATGTGGCTATGTGGATCCATTCTTTTAGTTCTGCCTTCCTTGGTGTTGACTTCATTCTCAGTTGGCTTTTTCTGCACAGTGACAAAGATGGCCTCCAGCAGCTCCAACTTTTATAGACTGAGAAGGAGGGAGAGAGATTTTTCTTCTAGCCTCTGAGTGACTCTGCCTGTATATCGTGCTTATTTTTTAACCAATCACTATAAACCAGAGGAACAGAATTATCTGTTCTCATTGAATAACATTTCTACCCTTGTGGAGAGTGGGTAGAGTTTTGAGGATGTCTTATTCTCTAAAGTGCAGGAGGGCAGTTTCTAGAGGAAAAGGGGGTTGTGTTACTAGAAGTGAAAGGGCTGCTTTGCTGGCAAAAACATAGAAGTCTGGGACATGAATGGGTGGAAAACATTCTCTCATACTGAAGGGTATTCAGGATTCCAGTTTTTCCCTCCCTTTCCTTTCTCTTTCTCCTCCTCTTGTTTTGTTTCTTTTCTTTCTTGAAACCCAGGTCCTCACATAGGTGAGGCAGATGCTATACCACTGAGCCAGATCCCTGGCCCATCATGGTTATAAAGAGTTATCTAAAAAGGATGCTCAATGTACCGGTTGTGGTGGCACACACCTTTAATCTTTGTCACTTAGGATGCTGATGCAGGAGTTCTGCAGTTTGAGGCCAGTCTTAGCAACTTATGAGGCATTTTTTGAGACAGTGAGATCCTGTCTCAAAAAAGTTGTGAGGATGTAGCCCAGAGATTGAACACCCCTGGGTTTAGTCCCCAGTATCACCACCAAAAAGAAAAAAAATAAAAGCGATGCTCAATCAATCACTTTGTGACAGCGCTTAAGATTTCCAATGGTTAGGTTATTGGGTGAACACTTTCTGGATTGAGGGTTGTGGATTTAAAATTTTGATAGCTCTGCTGTTACTAGACTGTCCTRTAAAACAAGGAGCTCTGTTTTATACTACCACCAACAGTGTATGGGTGTGAAAGCTTGTCATACTCATGTAATACCAAATATTGTCAATTTAAGAGCTACTTCTGAATAAAATAAACATTTAATTTGTATTTATTTAAGTACTATTATTTGAATGATTTATTCTTTATTACATTGTCACATTTAAAAAAAATTTTCCAGTTTATATCTTTTGCCTATTGTTGCAATGGGTTGTTTGAGTTTTTTGAGTTATTGGAGTTTTATATAGTGTGACTTTTTTTTTTTTAAAGAGAGAGAGAATTTTTAATATTTATTTTTTAGTTTTTGGCGGACACAACATCTTTGTATGTGGTGCTGAGGATCGAACCCCGGGCCGCGCGCACGCTTGCTACTGCTTGAGCCACATCTCCAGCCCTATAGTGTGACTTTTAATCCTATAATATTAAAAGTACTCACACATGCACACACATACACATAGTTTTCCCTTTGTATCTTAAGGAATTGTTTCCAGGTGTCTTCTCAGATACTCAGATCTGCAGATACCAAAATCACATCCTTTATATTAAATGGTGTGGCATTTGTGTATAACCTATGTACATTATCCATCTCATTTACTTTAAATAATTTCTAGATAACTTATAATACCTAATGCCATGTAAATGCTAAGTAAATAGTCATTACTGCATTGTTTAGGAATTAATGACAAGAAAAAAGTCTGTACATGCATGTTTAGTAACAGAGACAGATTTTTTTATCCCGAATATATATATATATATATATATATATATATATAATTTTTTTTTAAAAATCTGTGGTGGGTTGAATTCCAAGGATGTGGAACCCTTGAATGTGGAGGGCTGACTGTATGTATAACGTAAGCAATGTATGCTCATATACATTATATAAATATGTATATTTTAAGGATGAAATAGTCTTTAAAATTTTTTTATATAATATATTCAAAAATTCACACAATAAAATATTCTTTTGGGATGTCTGTGCTTTTGAGTTTTGTTTATGGCATTTTGTTTAATTTGTAGTCAGATTTGTTCTTTTGAATCTTGTGACTTGTTTAGGGATTATCTATCACAAGATTTAAAATATTTTATATTGTCTTCTAGTTCTTTTGTAATCTGTTTAAACTTACATCTGTAATTCATCTGTAATTTGCTTTTGTGTGCTGTCTGATGTGGAACTACTTTTCTCTAAATGTCTAGGGAGTTCTCTCTATACCTTCTATTGAGTATTCCATTCTTTTCCCATTTACTAGGAATCCTACTAAATTCCCACAGGAATCCTACTAAATTTACCACGCCTGGCTTGCTGTCTCTTTTTTTAAAAAAACAGTTTTAACCAGTGTTTTGTACAAGTTTTTTAAAAATCACCAACTTTAAGCATAAAATTCTGAGTCTTAACAAATATACCTAGTTGTATATTATATCACAATACAGTGTTGGATGTTTCCCTCACCTACAAAAATTTCTTTGTTTGCCTTTGCAGTCAGTCTTGTCCTGCCACCCTTGGATGTAGGAACCGTTGACCTGTTTCCTGTCTCTCTAGTTTTTTCTAAAATTACAGATAAAAGGAATAATTCATATCCATAGTCTTCTCTGTTAATTTTCTCAAATTGTACCTAATGGTCTTAAAAATCATCTATGTTGTTTTGTGTCAGTAGTTTATTTCTTTTCATTACCATTGTATAGATATTGAGTAATTTGTTTATTTGTTCACCAGTTGATGGGTCACTTGGGCTGTTCGTAGTTCTTGGTTTTTATGGGTAAAGTTGCTAAGAATATCTGGGTAGAAGTCTATCTGAACAAATGTTTTTTAGTTCTTTTGGGGCAAATACTTGTAAATGGAATCAATGTCTTCTTTAATTTTGAGACAGGGTTTTGCTGAGTTCTTAGACTRACTTTGAACTTTYGATACTCCTGCCTCAGCCTCCTGAGTAGCTGGGATTATAGGCATGCACTACCATGCCTGGYGCATTTGCATTTCTATTAGCAGTGTATGAGAGTTCTAGTTCTATGTTCTTGTCAACATTTGTTAGTATCAGTCATTTAAATTTTAACTAATTTATGGATATGTAATGATAATTCACTGTGGTTTTAGTTTACATTTCCTCTATTTATAATTTTTAAAAATTATGTTTTCATGTGCTTTTTTTTTTTACCATTTCTGTCCTAAATTGCCTATATTAAAATCTTTTATCTACATTTTTATTTATCCCCCTCACTCCCAAATCAAATTGTTTGTTTACTTAAGTTCTAAGTTTTATTTTGATTTTGGCTTTTTTTTTAAATTTATTATTTATTGTTGGTTAATTTTGGCTTTTAATTCTAGAAAAATGTATGCTTTGCAAATATTTTCTTTCTATTAATTTTTTTTTCTCCTGTTCTCGTTTGCTGACTTTTTTTTTTGGATTGAGCTTAAAAATTATTTTAATGAATTCATTTTATCT